CAACTAAAATACGTCGATCCCTTTACTACTTAAGCCCCGTCCTCCGTGTTTGCTTGTCCGTATACATATGCACACACACACACACACACACACACACACACACACACACACATACGTATTATACTTAGTTTTGTCGCATTGTGCCCAAAGCGTATATACATACACTGGAAGAAACGGAGAAAAAGAGTGGATATTTTTTAGTATTTTTAGTATTTTTTTCTCCACTGCTGCGTACGTTTGATATTTATCGTCAATGTGATAACAGCTATATTATTATTTCCTTCGAATAGGAAGTGGAACATATTTTTCCTTTCGGGTGTTATCTATTCTTCAAGAAACATAATAATCACGGTTTTAACAATACAATGTGTACAATATTGTACATACAAATATCATAGTAAACACCTAAATAGTTCAATAGTTGCATATTTTTTTACGATCTTATATCGGCTATTTAATACTTGAGTATACCTATATAATTACAATAATTATTATAGGTATCTTTATTAGAAATCAAACAACCAAAACTATGGGTAGGTATTATAAGTCCTATACCTATTACCTATATATATGTATGATATTTAGGTAAATACACTCTACAAACTATATGCAATGACGTACTCAGGCCTCATATGAGAGGGGTTGTAAAGGGTTACTATACAACCATTGTCCATCGTAATTTGTAAATCAAAAAACATGGACATTTTTTATCATTCAGCAATTTTATGTAAAAATAAAGTATAAACATTATTTTAAGATGAAAAATCCTAAAGATTTGACATTTTGCCATATAGGCAAGTATAAAATATTGCAAAGAGTTTATAAGTTTATGTATAAACATACAATATAGTAAGTTCTCGCAAACTTTTTGTATCCAAATAGTGACAGTATCACTTTGTTTTTGAAGAGGGTGAATAATATAGTCGGCATCAAAACTTTATCTAAGGTCACCCTATTAGGGCGTCAAATCTGTAAAAACGTCTCTGTGACTATATTTGCAGACCCACATCACTACTTTCATAGCTGGATGATCACAATAGTTTTAGTGCAGAATAATGTGAGTGTGCCTATTGTAATTAGCAGATCTCCTAGGATGATTTTTTTTACCGTCAAGTTGGACCGTTTATTAACCTGCAAACAATATCATTATTTACAGTTTCTTTATCACATGAAGCGATATTCGTTACTTCAATTGTTCGGACGAATGTTATGATGGCAGTAATAATGCCTTTACAAAATTTAATTTAATCTGGCATTAAATTGTACATACAAACGGTTCTAAAAATGTGAGTTATCTACGTTCTCCGACGCCCTGGGAAAGCATGGTTTTTTTACAAGGGCGATGCTGTGGAATGAATTAAATAAATCGGAACCACAAAAGACAGTAATGGTTTTCCTATGATTAGTCATGCTTTGGCTTAGAGAGTGGTTAGTTATTGAGTATTGGTTGAAACATTCTGTCAATAGACATAGACACATTTTCTAATGCGATTGAATTGAATATAATCTAACCTTGAACATGGGTGTGCGATAAAATATTAAGGAAATTCCTCAAAATAGGTATGAACAAATGTATAAATTGCCAAAAACCGATCGTTAATCGGTTATCACTTTCTTATCGTAACGCACGTTTGCGCCTAATTTACAAAATTAGTTGAGCATTTAGTAAATCGCGACGAGAGTATAACAAAAGCTAACTTGTTATATGAACTACAAGACTTTTCTTCAAAATGGGACCGCTTAAAATTAAAACTTGATGAAGAGTACGAATTTGATAATTTTATTGACGAGGAACAGCAATTAGAACTAAAAGAAAGCACTAACAATTCTAATTTAGAAATTGAAAAAAAATCGTCAATATTATGTAATAAAATTAAAGCGTGTCGAAATTGTATTTTGTGTTGCTATATAGTACTACTGAAATATAATCTGTACAGCGAAGCTTACAAGACACTATTTTTTGCATACAAATTCATTCTATCACTGTCGTCAACACAAGTAGCTTGTGAAAGAATGTTTTCAAAATTGAAATATATTCTCAATAGAATAAGAAATTCATTGAGTCATGATCATTTATAATCATTTATGCTCGGAAAAATATGTTTTTAAGGTTGTTTTTATAGGTATACCTAAGTGGGCCGATTTTTTTTATTTTCCCGGTAGAAATTGTTGACCCAGTCCGGCCCTGATGGTGTCATGGGAAAAGCTTAGTTCAAGAAAGTTGAAAAATACTGGAAATTCAATAGTTTGTATTTGATAATATCGATATAATAAAATTAACGACTTTGGTTAGGTTTAGTCATAGTTTTCAATTAATCTATAATATGTAGTTAACTGTAGTGTAATTTTTCTTACAACTCAACATTTATTTAGCAGGTCAATTTATTTCTGACTGTAAATTCAGGCCAGGGTATCCACGCAGGTCAAAATGCTATTCTACATAAAATTAAAAATTTAAATGTATAATTCGGATGATCCAAATGACGTCATTAATCGTATATGAATATATAAATTATAAGTTAAACACATTCATTAGGTACTTACAAATATTATGTTATTACATAATATATAATATTATATATATATTATATCGTATCAAAATTACACGCTGTATAATGTATTATATTATGCTCAATACTCATTGTAAATACCTATTAGTATTATTTTTTTTTCTACGAATTTGTGTAATGTAGTAATCCATTTAAAAATATCCCTAAATGTCGCATTATGTCTTCCGATTGTAATGCATAAAGAGAGAGGACAATAGGTCCTTTTTAAACGAAGTTGTGTAACATATATACTACGTGAAGAGAAATGTAATGAGAAAAAAAAACAGTTCAAAACGATCCTTAAAAAATGCATTTTTGTTGTCGTCCGACAACAAAAGGAGGTACATGTTTTTTCTTCCGTAAGAAGATTAGTTTAATATAATATGTATGTGCTTCAGGCGTATTGAAAGGCGTATTCGAGAGTATTGAAATGAAGTGGCCTTTGACATTGTTGCCGCCTAATCCGATTTTTCGTAAACACATATCGGTACTTATATACCCGTGTCAAGAACGTCTTTTTATATTTAAAAAATAATAATAATAATCATAATACATATGTATTTTGTCTCCGAGGTGGTTCACACGCCCCCGGTCGCGAGCATCCTTAAACCTTTAAATTCACTTTATCCTCCACAGTCTCTGAATTATGTAGAGGAGGCACCCTCTACTTACCTTATAATAAAATGTGATATGATATTGTTAATACATCTATAGGGGTAATGGAACTCAAGTGGCATGAATTATAATCGGCATACGATCCCGTGACGTAAATTTATTTATTTTATATGAATAACAAAGTGTTATTACTTCTTGACAGTGTTGGGTAATACCGTTACGCAAATTACAAATTACTGTAACGCAGCAGTAATTTTATTTAAAGTAACTCAATTGTAACTAAATTTCTTTTGAAAAGTAACTTTGTAATGCACTATAACGAGTTATTTTCCACGTTATAAAATAAAAGTTTTGAATGTATTACAAAAACAAACCGATGGATATCCCAGAAAAATTAAAAATCAATTATATTTATTTTTGATTTCGATAATAGTTAAGGGACCTGGTCGCGACCTGTTTTTTTGCTCAAAAACATGCCTTACAGGAAAAACTTCAGAGAAGTAGATTGGTCCGATTTCCGTAATTTTTTTTTTTTTGTTAAATAGAGAAAGACGTATTGCAGGGCGCATTGGACTTGGATTTTCAAAATTATTTTTCGAAATCTTATATTACAAGTTTGAATTTAATCCATTTTTACAACTTTTTAGTTTTTGTATTATTATTTATTTTTAGCAACGTAATCAAAAATCAAAGTCCAATGCGCCCTGTAAAAAATATTCTTCTATCTAACAAAAAAAAAAAATACGGAAATCGGACCAATTTATGAGGCGTGAGAGTTTTTCCTGTAAACTGTGTTTTGACCGATATAATACACCCTATCAACCCCCCCCCCCCTAAATAGGTATTGGGTAGTAGATTAGTGAAAAAGTCTTATAATTGAGGTGGCAACTAAAATATAAAATTTAATTTTCAAATTTTATAGAATTTCGGAAAATTTGAAAAATCGCGACCAGGCCCCTTAACAATGTTACTACTAAACATTCCAGAAATAAATTGTATCCCTTTATTAGCAGAAAGAAAAGAGTTCGGTTTAAAAATAAAAATTAATTATCACTTATGACTATATAGGTGAGATGATTGTACGTTTGTACATAATACTAAAATAGCCAATAGGTCTATTATCACTAGGTCTATATGATTGTAAAACATATACATAATAATTGAATCATATGAATTGAATTAAAAATAAAATGATAAAAAAAAGTAACGTTATTTGTAACGCACTACTTTATTAATGAAAAAATAATGTAACATGATAAAATAATTTTAGGTAACGCAAATGTAATTTAAACAAAAATATTTGCAGTAACGAGTAACGTAATTTTATTACTTTTTAAAAGTAATTTACCCAACACTGCTTATTGAGGGATGAAGGATGCCATATAATATTACATATTATATTATATAAATTATTTTATCGTTTTTGTTTTCTTTATTTCTCTAATTTCAACCATGTTCAATATATTCTATGTACCTACAGTATACACAAATATGATACTTATAGGTAGGTAGGTAGGTATATCAAAAGGTCAGACATTTTTGATTTTCAAAAGGCAAGTTATAATTTGAAATTCTCATTCATAGTAGGTATATTGTATATTGTATAATTTTGTAACAAAATATAATTTTTCAAATTAGAAATTATTATTTCATTTTGGTTGAGACATTAAAAGAAATATCACTTACCTATTTGAAAAATATTTTACAAAATCTAGTTATCTCGCATAATATTAAGGTATAATAAAACTTATAATAATGGTTTTATAATAACTTGATATTAGTGATATTATCATACTTCAAATCCACTTTATTTTTTTTTATATTATTAAATTCAATTTATACGTGTCTTTTGAATTTTGTTGAAGTTTGATTGGCCAATTGTTTATTTTCGATTTTAATATTAGCCGGTTCCACTTGTTTCGGTTTTACGTTAGACACATTAACGGAAACCGTACGATCGGTTACTATGGGTTTTCTTTTTTTAACGGCTTTAACCGGCTTAATAGAAACAGGTAGGGAATCAGCACGGCCTCCAACTTTGACTTTTGGTTTTGGCTTTATTAAAGTGGCAAGTGGTTTATTCCAATTATCTCCTACAAGTACAATAATACATTTATGAAGATTATATTTTCAAATTATTTAAGACAACTAAAGCTTGACTCTATACCAACTTCGTATAAATATGATTTATTATGTATTTATTTATCGTCTTTGTAAACCTTTATTTTGCAAAATACGTTAAGTGCATTGTTAATATTTGTTAACATTTGAACCCTATTTTATTAAGCTTTGTACCTCATTAATCATTGTAAATAATATTGCATTTAAATTTTTAATTATATATAGAGCAAATAAAGGAATAATATAAGAAGTAACACAGATCTGATGCAATATTTGTTGTAGCTTAATTTTTGAAAATATACAGAATAATTACTTGTATTTGTCCTGTTAGTATATTCCAACGATTCATCTTCAGACGAGTCTTCGAGGAATATCGTTCTGCGTAATCGTTCGGTTCGGTTAAACTCAAAAGATTGCTTAGTGTTCTTTGCCATTTCTTTGATTTATGATATTAGACAATGAAAATAATTTTAATTAATTATACATCTTTAAAAATATTCAACCAATCGTATGTTAATTTAGGTACAGTAGTAAAAAGCTAATCACCAAGCATGCTCACCCCCATATTTCCCTTAAGAGGACGTTACACATCCATTTGTTGTCTCCGTTTTACAAGTGCATAACATAGAAAATTTACACTCAGCAGGTCACGTTTAACTGAGTTAGTTTAAAAATTAGAGTGAATCTACCTATTATGAAACTTTATAGTAAGTACATTATCTGTGTTTGTATGTGGGTTTATATGATACTTCATTTTTTTAGTAAATCATGTGTATATACTATAGCGTTAATTAAAAATACTCATAACTCACTTAAAAACTGAATTAACATAAAAACCCCACAGATAATGTTCTTACCATCAAGTTTCGTAATAGGTCGAATCACTTTAATTTTTAAACATGATCTGCTGAGCATACATTTGCTATGTTATGCACTTGTAAGACGGAGACAACAAATATAAGTGTAGCTTCTTCTTAAATTATGAATTTATTTAAATGTTGACTATTAGAACTTTCAAGTATTAAACTTATAAAGACCATATTTTTAAAAACTTTTTTATTTGGTTTCTTGTGTTAAAAAACTTTATTTATTTAAAATAAGAACCACATTTTTTTTTTGCTGCAAATTGTTAGAAAGAAGAATAAATATTAATATATTTATTTATTTAAAATTATAACATCGTTTCAGTGCTACACTATAAGAAGTATTACTAATTAGTAATTATAATAAATTAAATATTCATGTGTCGTAAATTGTAAATTGGATAGTTGGATTTAATTTTCGTAATAAGGATTAATATTATTATTATATATTTTATATTTAATCTAATACTAGACACTAGTGTTATAACAAGGACTAAAATCCTCAGTCCCTACAATACAACATTAAATAAATAAGAAAATGCTCGATCGAATTTTGATCGAGATGCTTCAACATTTCTAAAAAAATCATTTGTTTAATAATTTTTCGTAAAAAAGTGATTCTGGTTTGAATATAAAAGTTTATATCAGCCCTGTAGTAACTCCTCAAATATTACAAAAAATCGATACGATTTGGAATTATATTGTTTAAGTACACATACAAATTCTAAAAATCTGAATTTTAATAAAAATCACTATAAAAAGAGAAATTGGGGTGAACATGCCTACTGAATCACACTTTTTTTTAAAACACATTAGATAGGGAAGGCCTTTTTATCGACGAATCAAAAGAATATTTTCAACGAATGGACATTATCAATAATACCCTTGATTCACTCCACGTAGTCGTGTGTCTCAATTATTAATGATTAGCTTATATAGTGTATTATATAATGCATCAAGAATAGCAGGTAGACCTCCGTCCTCCACATTATTTTCTATCAAATAATTTCCTAAGAATGTTTGACAGATATTACTAGAATTTCGTGCAGACGAAACTCAAACTCGACCATACATGCAGTTCAAAAACGTACAATGGTATAATATAATATAGTAGGTACAAGGTACCTACATCGTTGAAATTAATATCATATAACTATTACAATGTACATCCATATAATATTGTTTATATTTTATTTTTCATGAACTATCAGAAACGTCGGAGCCAACACTACACAATAATATTATAATAGCTGCAGCGTATCCACGGCCGACGGACTATTATATTATTATTGTTATATCGACGAACGGAACTTTGCGGTGAACCATGGTCGTCGGTACCGAGGAAGAAATGACAGGAGAGGCGAGGGATATGGCAGAGAGTATATAATATAAATATATATATAAGTATATAAGTATATGTGTAATATTATACATGGATGTAAATGGAAACCACAAATACAATTATTATTATTATTATTTTGTATACAGAAAAACCGCCACTTTTCAGAGAGATAGAGAGCGGACGATAGTAATAACCTCCTCCTCCTACTACTACTCCTCCTCCCCTCCACCCCTCCTTCGGACGTAAAAAAAACAATAAATGACACTTTGTATGACTTCACGCTCCAGCAAAGGTTATACCATAAATGCGGTTTGGACGCCAGGAGATTTCCCACTAGCCATCACGCTTGAATACGTATTATGTGCGAGCACATAGGTACCCACCCGACCTATATGTATGTGTATTGCATACATATATAATATGCATAATACAACAACAATACGATGTATACACGATGTGCGTCTTGTCAGATTGCGCAGACCACAAAAATTGAAATAAATAATTTACACCTATATGGCCACACAATGGACTTGGGTATTGTTACTTTTATGAAGAAAAAAAATACGTGTTTTATATACTACAGTATATTATATACATCTATTGTTTTGTTAAATAAAATTCTAGACCTGAGAATCTGCAGACCATGGAAAATCAATATAAAAATATACTTTGCTATTCTTGTTAGAATAATCTATATAGGTGCCTATAATCTTGTTGTTGATTATTGATTATTGTAATTTCAGCTAGTGTTTTAAAAGAAAAAAAAACAAGGAAGTCGCATTGGCGCATTGTAGGCAGGCGTCGGCTGTTCCCCGTCATTGAGCAGGACACTGTAATGGATATGTTTGAAGCAGGGACTGGAACCTTGATGATTTTTACGGTTCCGGTTCCTATTCAGTTCTCAGTAAAACTAAAATTTCGGTTTCTGTTCCTATTCGGTTCACAAAAAAACTAAAATTTCGGTTTAGGTAAGTAATACGGTAAGTTGAAACAATTTTTGCCAAAAACAAATCGCATATGATAATAATATAATATTATTTCATATCATAAAATTACTACCTAGCTGTTATAACTTATAAGTAGATATGCCAACGAACAACGTAGAACTGGAGATAGGTTCGGGGGTATAAATAGGTTAAAACTAATCCAAACATATTGAAAAAAGTGGGTAAGTGGATTTTGCTCTGCTATATAGCAGATTACAAGTGGGTCAATGTATAAAGGATTGTATTAAACTTGAATTCAATGATATAATATCATTGTATAAGAAAAACGATTCTGAGTGGAGACGGTTTGTCAGCCTGAATATTGTTATTATTTATTATATCCTGTTTTATTATATCCTGTAAGTTGGATTTATATTATAATAGGTATTATTATTTTTTATTGGTTTCTATAGTGATAGACAAAGTGTTAGAAATTAAAATCCCATTTTTAGCGGTTTTTAGTAATTTGTCGGTGGTTTTTCATAAATACCTATTGAGAAAATCGAAAAATAACCTTTCTAAAGCACCATTTTGATCCGATTTGCTAAGAGATAAGGTACTACATGTTTAAATCGAAGCACTCCTTCTGGTAGATATTTTGTATACAGAAAATTAACTCCTTAGATATAAATATTGAAAATTATATAAATTTTTTTTAACTATAAAATAATTTAAAGATATTCATGATTTTGAAGACCCACAGTTATAAAAATAAATTGTGCACTATATGTACAACTTATGAACAGCCTTGATTATATTTTCAATTTTAGATTGCGAGTGGTGTGATAATAAATGCATTGATTTTACGATGATGTGTATTTTTTTTCTGTTAGTAACACCTTTAGTAAAAAAGTTTCAATTTTCAATTTTGTGGGTGATATCTAAAAATTAATGAAAAGAAAATGTTTTGTACGTACTTATATAGTATACGGATGACTTTCAACGTACTCGTGCCGTAGTTATGGAGGTTTGACGTAATTGCTCTAGTTAATAATATATTTTGGCTGATAGTGTGAGTAGCCGACCGACACGCGACGTCTCGTTATTTGGTACAATCGTTAAAATATAAAATTATGTTGCACTGAAGTTTTATTGTTACACTTGCACAAAAAATAAGCGAGGCAATAAATTAAAAAAAAAAAAATTGTTTATATTTTAAAAGAAATGTAAAGTTGACTTGGAAACCATGAGGTGTACAATACACTAATTAACGTTTAGCAACATTATAGTTTCATTATCTTATGTTTATATACATTATAACAGTATAAATACAACACTGGTAGTTTCATGTTGTATTGTTGATAAAATTGTTCGGTATGATATTATATATTAATTACCAAGTAATTACTAGTAAGTTACTTATGAAATTGTTTTTTCTGTTTATTTTAGATTTTGAGTGAAGCGATAATGCACCTAATGCATTTACAATGATATGGGTTATTTTTATTTATTTTAGTGTCTGTAAACACTTTTTCTAGTAGAAAAAATTCTCTGATTATAAACTTCAAAGGAGGTTTCTGTTAGCAAATTGGACCTAGTTGGTAACTTAGGAGGTACAAATTAGAAATTCTCAGTGTTTTTTAAAATAAATGGGAATTACATAAAAAAATAAAAACAAACATTTGTTAAAATTGTAATATTATTATAAAAATAACTGTTTGGTAACCAAGGTTACCAAAAGTTAAACTGTTTTCACTCAGAATCACGTTTCATCACATAAAATTATTTATCATTGAATTTAACTTTAACACAGCCATTACAGTGCAGACCTATACTCAATAGTCAATGACTCAGTATTATCGCTATCGACACCTATACTGTACTGTTGACGTCTTGACAATTTTTTTTTTGTTAAAATGTATTGTTTTTAATACTCTAAAAGAGTTACTAATTTACAATTTATATAATTATTTCAATAAAAACACTTCAAAAGTTGTTAGTTGCTAAAAATAAAAGCTATAGTTCGTTTTATAGTACCTATAGATAATAATTAATTATAATAATTTGTAGTCATACTTCTATGTTACGCCAACAGTTAACAATACTTTTACATTAACATTAATAATACGTATAAAAATAATTTGACAGCACTAGAATATAATATATAGGTAGTCGTAGAAAACAACAAATTTAGTAAGACCTGGCAATATCATGCTCGTCAAATAATTATTCTAATAATTTTATAATATTACAGTATTATTAGAGTGTGTTGGATACTAATTCGAGGAATATCTGTTTTTCTT